TTGTGATAAAAAAAATTTTTTTAATTTTGGGTAAATACCTAGTATTAGGATTGCAGGATCAAATAGAAGGTCTACTTTTAGTTCCTTGAGTTTTCTCCATACTTCTTTCCAAAAAAAACTGTACTAGTTTTCAATCCCACCAATAGCATGTAAGTGTTCTCTTCTATTCACACCCATGCCAGCATCTGCAGCTTTGGGACTCTGTGATGTGGGCTATTTTTTCTGGGGTTAGGTAGTATCTGAGGGTGAGTTTGATTTGCATTTATCTGATCACCTGGGATGATGAGTATTTTTCACATACAGGGTGGACATAATAAAGTTTGTGTGCAATTGTAAATAGTTTAACCTTAATAAATTGTACACAAACTTTATGGACACTCTGTATATGTTGGCTATTCATCTGTCATGGGATAAGGTTCTGTTCCCGTCTCTTTCATATGTGTCTTCTTAGAAAGAGACGGAAACAGAACAGTCAGTAATAGTCAGGCTGAAAATTAAATCAAAGACACAATAGATAGGGACTTTTCTTTGCCAGTACAGGAGTAGCTGAAATAGATTTCTTATGTGTGATTTAGATTGAAAGTAAAGTTACATTTTTAGGAATATCAACCTGTCAGATTTGTTGTAGTAATTTGGTCATTATTTTGAATCATTTCTTTGAAAGAGTGACTTTTAAGATGTTTTAACATATTAAGTTCTGTGTCTTTGCAGGCAACCATTAATATTGTTTTTGATCGAGTTGGGAAAACTGACCCTGTTACAAGAGGCATTGAGATCACTGTGAATTACCTGGGAATCCAATTTGATGTAAGAGTTATATTAAGATCCTGGTTTATTATGTTTCTTTCTGGCTTATCTGCTGTAACTTATAATTTATAGGATTCTAATTCCCACACTTTATGTACTTGCTGCTTCTTTTCTTCTTCCGATTCTCCTCTGTATATTTTGACATATTCACGTGGCATATTTGGAGAAGACTTGGATTCTCTTTCTAATTATAAAGCCATACTAACAACTGCTGCCTATTATTGTCATGGATACTGATTATTTCTATAGTTCCTCCTCTGCTTCTCCGTAGCCAGCCACTTTATCAGTTTCTCCCCATGAAAGTATTCAAGTCCTTCTCTCAGTGATACTTGATGAGCTTTTCAAACGTACAACTCACCTTTGGTTCCCCTGGTAGAAAATTAACTGCTAATTAGTGTTCTGTGTTAGAACTAAAATGAATTCTGCTGTAAAAAATGATCTTTATCAATTAATCAATGTAGACTTTGGGCTAAAGATGGTAACTGTCACCTTTGCACAAAGTTGTTTTTTAATTAGCTTTCTACCTGTTTCACAACACTAATGTCATAAATACACCCTTGTCCCAATTTAAGTTCAATGTCTATATTCATAGACTAGTATATTTTCCAGATATAAGTATGGCCAGTGATTCTGGCTGAATAGCACTTTAAGACCAATGTCACATTCTTAGTCCCAGTTCTGCTGTCAACCTAGACACAGGCTGCATGCTACCCCCAACCATCCATCTCATCCAGACATCCTTCCAGTCTCCAGGGGAGCAGGATGAAATGAACAAGGGCAAACTGAGGTCCAGTCCTTAAGAAACAGCTCAGAGTACATGTTCCTTGATGCTAGATCAATGGTGTATTATCTCTGCACATGAAGGAGCGTATGTCTTTGAGTATTGTATAAATTAAGTATTTTTGTTATTGTTGGATGTGGCTTTTCCTCATTCACATTTTTTGCTAGGCTGAATTTTGAGAAATGCTCTTCCTTATCTGTGCTTTCTGAGGCTACTTAATCGCTATATATACATTCCATCTATAATTCTTCTATATACTGCATATTTTGTAATTATGAATAACAAACTTTTAGGTGTTAGTAATAGCAGCTCCCCCTCAGACACTTTTCAGAACTGAGTCAGGCATGGGGTCCCAAAACTGCTTCACACTACGATGCAGTGCAGGAGGAGAAAAGGTAACTTGTGCTTTACATGAAGTTCAGCTATTTCCTAGAACTTAGCTGAGATTCTCTATATATTCTTTTATTACAAAAAGAAATATTCCTTAAAATTTTGAGTGATCAGAGAACTATAATGCATAGATATTAAAAATAAACTACTGAGTTTCCTTTTAATTCCTGCTTTTCACTTATCATAGTAAAGTTGTATCAATAGCTATTTTTTCTGATTAGTGTTATTTTTATTATTTTTTATCACTTCTGTACTTGCTTTCTTGTGTTAGGATTTAAGTCTCCTAGTTAAGATATACACTGCAGTTTCCCTATAGGTGGTTCCTCCCCCCTTTAAAGAAAAAGAAAATCAGGTATAGCCTAATGAAGTTCCCTCTCACAACCGCATAAGTGATCTGCATACAGCTGAGCCTTTGTGTCTGTCTGAACAGAGATGTAACAGCTATTTTTTCTTCCTGTTATGGTGGTAGGTGAAGTTTTGGTCCCAACACATTTCCTTCATTCTTGTTGGAATAATCATCGTCACATCCATCAGAGGATTACTGATCACTCTTACCAAGGTATGTTGCATCACAGTGTGATAAAGTACTGCTTATCATTTGCTTAATTACAATGTGGTACCATGAGATAATTTTACCTAATTAAGATTTCTGCCTCCTGACAAAACAGAATTTTTTAAAATTTCATCTACTGTGTCAATTGACAATATATTTACATCAGACATTTACCAAAGTAAATAGAATAAGGGCTAGTTTTGTTTGCTGAAATGTAACCAAAATGAACCAAAATGGCACATAGTAGGTATTCACCAGATATTTGAGGTTAAAATAATTGAGAGGCATTTGTAAAGCAATATGGAAGTAGAAGAGCAGAATACAGTAAGTTTGAACTTAATGTCATTAATAGGGTCTTGGAAATTACTTTAAACAAAGCCAAACAACATACAGCTTTCATTATAATGTTGATGAGGAAAAAAAACAGTTTTGCTATATATTGTTTCACTTAAAGTCTTAGTTTCCAAGAACTTACTGACCTTAAAAGTGAGGACCTGTTATATTTAGCTGTTTTCTAATCAACATAGAAAGATTCCATGGACGTGGAATGTAAGTCCTCTCTGGCAGAAGAGATAGGGATTTCAAGATCCATGAGCTATTTGAAGAAAAAGAGGCATCCAACTCAATTTTGGAAATTGCTCAGGAGCCTAATTAACAATTACAAATGCTTATAACAGCCTGGAATAGTCTGATTTAAGGTTTTATGGCAATTTTAAGTCAAATGCATCACATAGTTTCTGAAGTTTGACAGAACAGGGGTCCTTTTATGTGTTATAATGTAACACTACCTCTGGGGAAAACATTTTCAGTGTTCTATTTTAAGTCTCTTCTTCATAACCTTAATCATGTGAATTGGTCTACAGAGGGTTATGGCATGAAAGAGGCTTTTAACTGTTAATCACATTGTGACATAGGAATCTAGCAGTGCTACATAAATTCATCTCTTCCTTTTCTTGACAGTTCTTTTATGCCATCTCCAGCAGTAAGTCTTCCAATGTCATTGTCCTCCTGTTAGCACAGATAATGGTAAGTTTAGGGAACTAGTTTTATAGCTAAAAAATACCAGAAATGTTTTATACTTTTAAACATTTTAATACTTTGCTTTTACCTGCTACTCATTACAGAGTAACTTTTAGATTGATCTGACTTACAGGGCATGTACTTTGTTTCCTCGGTGCTGCTGATACGAATGAGTATGCCTCTAGAATACCGCACCATCATCACTGAAGTCCTGGGAGAACTGCAGTTCAACTTCTATCACCGATGGTTTGATGTGATCTTCCTGGTCAGCGCACTCTCTAGCATACTTTTCCTCTATTTGGCTCACAAACAGGCACCAGAGAAGCATATGGCACCTTGAACTCATGCCTACTATAGACTATTAAAGGCCAGTGGTGTCAGAACTTGGATACAAGAGGTGGGAAAAAAGGAGGGGACCAAGGCCTAATATTTTCTAAACAATGCTATGGTAGCATATTTTACCCTCCAGCACACTCCTTCCTCAGATGATACTGTGAATGTAAGTAACAGCGAGAACATGAAGCGAAGTAACTCAAGGCAGTACTCAGCAGAGAGCATCCTGCATAGATTTAAGGCCGGCATAGCTCATGGACGAGGGAGAAGGGGGCAGAAGAGCCAAGAAACTAGTGGGGGGAAATACACTGGAACTCTGGGGCAAGAGGCATCCAGGGGAGCTGGGCTGAATACATAGGATTTCTGTTTTAAGTCAAGGTTTACATGGAAAAGGTCATGGCTTTTCCTTGAGATTATCATTAAAAATCAAAGATTGTAACACTTGGGCCTTGGGCTCATTTTATCCTACATAGCTTGGTATTATGCTTATGTGATCTAACATGAGTTAGCGTCCCTCCGGCAGTAACCAGCCCCATTAAATAACCAAGAACTTTTCTGGAAAAGGCATGGTATGCAGCTGAAATAGATTATACCAAAGGAGACTTGAAGTATGTCATTTTCTTAAAATTTCTTTTTAACTTAAGAGTGAATACCCTACATTCAATTCAGCAATGATATCTCCAGATTTTGTTTCCATTGGCCCCTCATGCTATGAGGGTAAAACGATGCATTACCATAAGTGGAACAAGTTACATTTTTGTCCTGAGACTCAGGAAGACAATAGAAAGTTTTCAGATGGCTCAGCGTCCATAGCTCAGTGAGTAAGGGCGCCAGCCACATACACCAAAGCTGGCAGGTTCAAGCCCGGACCAGGCCTGCTAAACAACAGTGACAACTGCAACCAAAAAATAGCCGGGCACCTATAGTCCCAGCTGCTTGGGAGGCTGAAGCAAGAGACTCGCTTAAGCCAGGAGTTGGAGGTTGCTGTGAGCTGTGATGTGTATTTTATTCTTTTGGGTTTCTAGAGGCAAATGAAGGATAAAGTGTAAAATGTTTATCCAAAACAAACTTATTAAGGTTATACCAGACAACAGAAGTTTCACACATAGTGCAAAGGCATTTTTAATGTTATTTATTCTAGCAACCACAACATTGTTACAAAAGCATCATTTTAAGAGATTTATCTGCTCAGATACTTTAATTAGCAACTCTCACATATACAGATTTACAAATCATCTTTGGTGTTCAAGGAGCCTCATCATACAGAGAAACATAAAGTTGAACCTTGGAAGAGATCACAAAAAAAGAATCTGGCTCCTGCCTTAGCTCTTCCTAAGTCGACCATAAACCACCTGCAACAGCCACCCACCCCTAAGCAATAACAGAAGACAATCACATGATGAATGGTTTCCAGACAAGTTTTACCCTCTGACAGCAAACAGGTGGCAACTCATTCCTTGTCTAAATACCCAGAAACGGCTATCAGCCAAAGCCATTATTTGATCTCTTCACATCTCTGTATCTTCAGAATTGGAAGAAGAATGTGAGGCTGTGCTGTGGGCCTGTGCAAAAGAAAACAAGTCATTCAACGCTAGATCGTCCCTTAAGTCAGAGTCGAGTCACTCACAAGAAGTCAGGTGACCTGAATTCTTCACCTGGCTTGATTTCCAACTTGCTAGTTGATAGATTAACTTCTTAATGTCTGTTTTTCTTTAATAAGATTTATGTAGGACTTCAGTTGACCTCCTACAGAGAAATTATAAAGGCCAATACAGTGGCATAAACCTGTAACCCTACCACTTTGGAAGGCCAAGGCGGGAGAATCAGTTGAGGCCAGGAGTTTGAGACCCACCAAGGCAAGAGTAAGATCCCATATCTCTACAAAATATAAAAATTAGCCAGGCACAGTAACATGTACCTATACTCCCAGCTACTCAAGAGGCTAAGGCAGGAGGATCGCTTGAGCCCAGGAGTTTGAGGTTGCAGTGAACTATGATGAGACCACTGCACTGTAGGCCAGGTAACAGAGCATGACCTTGTCTCTTGTAGAATTTTTAAAAGACAACTGGAATACTTCCTTGGTTAAGCATTCTAGAATATAGAACATAAAGTCAACAGCTATTAGGTATGTTCACTAAACTGGTATTTGTTATTTATATCAGAGTCCTAGCTTTGCCACAAATTTCCTGTATGAACTTGAATAAATCAGTTTACTTTTCGACCTGCATAATTCATCTGCATAAAGAAGTTAGACAAATGTAAAACTGAGACTTACCAGGGAATCTATATATGTACAGAATACTTAATTTTTACTAGTAATAAAGCTGGAATACCTGACAATTTTAAAACAATACTCTGACCATCACCATTTACTTACATGCTTACTGTGAGGCAGACACTACTCAAAGCACTTTAATAGTCTTAGTTAATATTCTCCTTACAATCCCACAAGTTATCTCTATTTGACAGGTGGGGCAACTGAGGAACAGAGCAAATAAATCTATTTGCCAAGAGATAAGGCTGGGGCGGCGCCTGTGGCTCAAAGGAGTAGGGCACTGGCCTCATATGCCAGAGGTAGTGGGTTCAAACCCAGCCCCGGCTAAAAACTGCAAAAAAAAAAAAAAAAAAAAGAGATAAGGCTGATAAATGATAGAACCAGAATTTGTCCCTAGATAGTCTGATTCAAGTTCTTCTGGTGGTTCCCATTATAATTTTGCTAAACTTGTTACTTCTTATCAACTCAAGCATGCAGATGACAGCGATTGTCTAGACAGAAAGAAATCTGTTGCCCTTATACTTCCTCCTGTCCTCTACACTAACTGATTTGTTATCATTACAGAGTCGTTTTCTGATACATGACAGAGTCATTTTCTGATACATGAAGTATACTTACCTGGGGACCATACCATACTCTGATAAGTTAGGTCACTAGAAGAAATGTATCGCTACTCACTCGATCTTTCGCCACATGCACGTCCTGCTCTGGCACCGCTAATGTTCCTTCTTTAGAATCTGGGGGGGCATCCAGTGGCTCGACCATGGAGGAGACAATAGGGATTTTCTTAGCTTGAAAATAGTCATAAGCCTTCTTTCCACAGACTAACAGTGTGACATTCTTCCCACTGCTCTGGATTCTGTCCACCACCGTTTCATAGGGTTCATCCATCACATTCACGCCGTTCACTTCAATGATGATGTCCTCGTCTTCCAGCCCAGCCAGGTCGGCAGGGCTGTCCTTCCGCACCTGTGAACACAGGTTCTGAGTTATGAATTCCAGACACAGATCAGGGCATGTTAGACTAGTTTTCCTTCAGGGGATAGAAGAAGAGTTTGAGAATTTATTCTTAGCTATGCTATTATTTCTCCTTGAGGTACAGAAGTTGAGAAAGAGGCTCTATTTTTCTACTTATGAGAGCTACAACTTCCATACTCAAATGAGTATCATTAAAAATAGTGTTTGACTATTACATTGCATGTCTTTGGGCTGAAAGCATTAGGTTTCATAGGTTCACCCCCCTTCACTCCCAACTAGAAAGATATCATGAGAGTCTTCTCACGGACAGTGTCAGTCCCTAAAGGGTATGGTAGCATGCCAAAAGCACAGAAGCAAACAGATGTGTGGGAAGCAAAAGATGTAAGTTTATGATGTACTAGTAGCTGACATAAAGGGTCTGTGCTTGGAGGAGTGGAGAATCTGCAGCTTTGCGGAAACTTGTGGCCTTCTTGGTCCTGGTCCTTAAGTGTAGCCTTTTGACTGAATCCAATTTTTATACAACAAATCCTTTTATGAAAAGGGGCGTACCAGGGAAAGATGAAGCATTTATCTTTGGTGCTGAGAAAAGAATGATCTTGGCTGAGCATGGTGGCTCATACCTATAATCCTGGTACTCTAGGAGGCTGAGGCCAGTGAACTGCCTGAGCTCAGGAGTTCAAGATCAGCCTAAGCAGGAGTGAGACCCCATCTCTACTAAAAGGAAAAACTAGCCACATATTGTGCAAGGCACCTGTAGAGTCCAACTATTCAGGAGGCTGAGGCAAGAGGATCACTTGAGCACAAGAATTTGAGGTTATTGGGCAGCGCCTGTGGCTCAGTGAGTAGGGTGCCATCCCCATATACCGAGAGTGGCGGGTTCAAACCTGGCCCCCGCCAAACTGCAACAAAAAAAAAAAAAAAAATAGCCGAGCCCTGTGGTGGGCACCTGTAGTCCCAGCTATTCAGGAGGCTGAGGCAAGAGAATTACCTAAGCCCAAGAGCTGGAGGTTGCTGTGAGCTGTGATGCCACAGTACTCTACCGAGGGCAACAAAGTGAGACGGTCTCGGAAAAAAATAGAACTTGAGGTTACTGTGAGCTATGATGTCATAGCAATCTACCCAGGGTGACAGAGACTATCTTTAAAAAAAAAAAAAAAAAAGGAAGGAAGGAAAACAAAAGAAAAAAAAATCTTGAAATCAGAAGGCCATAGGTTCCCTACCCTTTGGGCTCTGGAACGAGATTACCATACCTCTTTGACGAATGAGCCTGGCAGACCCCGAATGGCATTTAAGTGAAAGCCATAGCCATTTTCACCTTTAACCAGCCTGCAGAGTTTAGGCTTATAATCTACTTCCTCAGTAGTATCTGGACTTGAGGCCTCCTGGGAAACAGGACTAGGAGCTGGATCCTCCTTGACCGAGCCATTAGGCAGTTCTTGACTTTGATAGTAAAGAAATGGAGAAAAACGAGCCTTTTGAAAATAAAGGAAAAACATTTGACTTAATATTTTAAATGTAAGTTGCAGTTTATTAAATATATATGCTAGTTTAATTTGTAAGATATTATACATGTTCCATTCTTCATGGTATATCTATTATAAACTATAAAATTTCTCTGCTACCACAACCAGGAAAAGTATAAAATATTGAGCTTGGTTGCAGAGCAATATGTACCAACATGCACACAAATGCATGTATGTGTTTAAAATAAGCTAGAATAGAATGCCAGACAAGGATCCAAAAGATGTCCAGCATAATTACTGGTTTCTGACTCCATAATAGTAAGCCAGTTTCTAAACAACCAGTACACAATCTCTTTGTTGGAGAATGACACATCTGAGTGATTAGCCCAGCGTCTCATGTGAAGTAGGTCCTTCTGGCCTTTCCCCTTCAGTAAGATGGTCTTCAAAGCTCCTTAAACACATTAGAGAAAGTAAAATACAAGACACTTGTGATGACTAATTTTAGTTGTCAACCTGACTGGATTAAGGAAAACCTAGAAACCTGGTAAAATATTATTTTGGGATATTTCTGTAAGGGCATTTCCAGAGGAGAATATGTAAGCCTGAGCTAAGTGGAGAAAATCCACCCTTAATGTGGGCAGGCAGCATCCAATCAGCTGGGGGCTCAGAGAGAACAAAAACAGAAAAGTCTTTCTCTGTTGGACTGGGATAGACCCTTCCCCTCCTGGGACATCAGAACTCTAGGCTCTTCCGCCTTTGGACTCCAGGTCTTACACCAGCAACCATCCAATCTCAGACTGTGGCTTACACCGTCAGCTTCCTTGGTTGTGAGGCCTTCAGACTTGGACTGAGCTGCTACTGGCACCTCAGGGTCTGCAGCTCACACAGCCTGACATGGAACTTCTCAGCCTCTGTATTCCTGTGAGCCAGCTCCCTAATAAGTCTTCTCTCATTCATGTATATCCTATTGGTTCTGTCTCTAAAGAACCATGACTAATACAATGCTCTATCACTTTCTGAAGGTTCAACCTACATACACAGTAATACTCGAATGGAGGATAGCAGCTATCACATACCATAATAAATGTTAATTCCAACCCTTTGCTGCTTGCCAGCACCCCCCCCATCCTGCCAGTCCTAGAATCTGTTGTACTCAATTTATTTCACAACTTATTGTAACCATTAGCAGTCATTCTGTTATGCCAAATTCTCCATCTTTAAATACCTCTAATCTGGCAGCACCCATAGCTCACTAGGTAGTGCTCTGGACACATACACTGGGACTGGCAGGTTCAAACCTGGCCTGGGCCTGCTAAACAATGACAATGGCAACAATAACAAAAAATAGCTGGGTATTGTGGTGGGCACCTCTAGTCCCAGCTACTTGGGAGGCTGAGGCCAGAGAATCACTTAAGCCCAAGAGTCTGAGATTGCTGTGAGCTATGACACCACAGCACTCTGCCAAGGGTGATACAGTGAGACTCTGTCTCTAAAATAAAATGCTTCTAATCCATCTTTATTCCCAGACCATCCATATGAAGAAAGTATAACTGTCTTCAATTCAGAAGAGTCATAGAACAGGAAATACGATTTTTTGAGAGACAGAGAGAGAGAGAGACTCTCCCTACGTCGCCCTCAGTAGAGTACCATAGTGTCATAGCTAACAGCAACCTCAAACTCTTGGGCTCAAGCAATTCTCTTGCCTCAGCCTCCCAAGTAGCTGGGACTGCAGGCGCCTGCCATGGCACCTGGCTATTTTTGGTTGTAGTTGTCATTGTTGTTTAACAAGCCTGGGCCGGATTTGAATCTGCCTCAATGTGCATGGCTGGCACCATAGCCACTCTGCTATGCAGATTAAATCTTTTTTTTTTTTTTTTTTTGGAGACAGAGCCTCAAGCTGTTGCCCTGGGTAGAGTGCAGTGGCATCATAGCTCACAGCAACCTCCAACTCCTGGGCTCAAGCGATTCTCCTGCCTCTGCCTCTCAAGTAGATGGGACCACAGGCACCCGCCACGATGCCTGGCTAGTTTTTGGTTGCAGCCATCATTGTTGTTTGGTGGACCTAGGCTGGATTCGAACCACCAGCTCAGGTGTATGTGGCTGGCACTTTAGGCACAGGTGCTGAGCCTTAATCTCTTTTTCAATAGGAAAAAGAACTCAGCTGGCTATGGGTGTTAGTTAAGAGGATTAAGGCCAGGCACAGTGGCTCACAGCTGTAATCCCAGCACTCTGAGAGGCTGTAGTTAGATCACTTGAGCTCAGGAGTTGGAGACCAGCCTGAGCAAAAGCAAGACCCCATCTCTAAAAATAGCCAGTCATTGTGGCAGGCGCCTATAGTCCCAGCTACTTGGGAGGCTGAGGCAAGAGAATCGCTTGAGCTGAAGAGTTTGAGGTTGTTGTGAGCTATGATACCACAGCACTCTGAGGGAAACAAAGTGAGACTGTCACAAAAAAAAAAAAAAGATTGGAAAGGTTGATTTGGGGATTGTATGACCTTGGATCAGCAATTAAATTACTGCCCACAAGTGTCCACAGCATTTGTTTGGGGCTAGGTGGTAAACAGGAAATAAGCAATGGAAGGTGAATGCAGTGTGTGTTCCGCCTCAAATCACACTCCTCAGCAGTCTGGCTAAAATTAGATTAGGGCGCTTGGTTATCAGATGTCTTACTAACCACAAGACCACATCTCTTTTCTTTCTAAATTAAAATAGCAACAGCACAGAACCTCCTAGTTACTTCAACTGGCTTCAGACTGTTACTGATATACTTGCAAACATTCCACATTGAGTCTCTCTTCAAAATGTGGAAAGTTATCAGAGTGACTCATTACACGTCACACCTCTGATAGTGCGACCTGACCAGGCAAGTCAACTGTATCTGACCGGAGCAGCTCATCTTGAGGCAAAGTATGAACTCTTAATGAGATTTTATTCATTCTTCAAATATTTGGGTGTCTAATGTGCGAGGAACTATTATAGGTGTTTGTTTTATTCGCTGATACAAAGTTCCATTCACACACACCCTAACCTCTGAAGCTCTGGGGAGGGGAAAGAATAGGTCAAGCATCTTTTTAGATCAAAGTCCACTTATGTTAACCAAAATAGAAAAATTAGCTAAATCATTCTATGATCATTCTTGCAAGATCAGGAGTTGGAAAGAACTATGTCAGAATCCCCTTTACAATAGCTACAGCAGTAGCTACTTGCTTGATTTTTGCCCACCACTGGGAAATAACTCCTCCTCACTTCTGCCATTTTCAGAGTTTGTTTTCTTTTGTTTATGAGACAGAGTCTCAGTCGTCCTCAGTAGGGTGCTAGGTCATCATAGTTCACAGCAACCTCAAACTCTTTGGACTCAAGTGATCCTCTTGCCTCAGCCTCCTGGGTAGGGGGACTACAGGTGCCCACCACAACGCCTGGCTATTTTTAAAGACAAGGTCTCACTTTTGCTCAGGCTGGTCTTGAACTTCTGACCTCAAGCAATCTACCCACCTCAACCTCCCAAAGTGCTAGGATTACAGGTATGGGCCATACTGCCTGGCCTCCAGCTTCAGTTCTTAAGACAAAGCTAGTTCCATAACTTGTCTGGTCCAGCTGTGCCCCACAGAACACACAAAAAATAAACATACTCCTCACCCCTTTCAGATTCTTGAAAATGTTCTCCATCAAAACTTACACTTATTCCAGGCATCCTCAAACTACAGTCCACGGGCCACATGCAGCCCACCTAGGACATTTATTCGGCCTGCCGGGTGTTTTTGCTTCCATTGCCTGTCCTGCTTAGCAGCCGACTCGTCCTGGGGCCTGCAGTCCAGCCCTCCAATGGTCTGAGGGACAGTGAACTGGTTCCCTGTTTTAAAAGTTTGAGGACCCCTGACTAATTAAATACTCACAGGGTAGCTTCCAAAACCTCTTCCCTACTGACCTTTCTTGGCACTGGCCTTCTCAGAGCTGGACACAATATTGATTTACATGTGAGGCACTATTCTGCACAGTATAACTATTCTCATTTAACCCTCATAGCTGCACTTCATAATAGCTATCCCCATCTTATAACTAAGGAAACTGAGGCACAGAAAGGATAACTTGCCCAACATTACATTAGTGAGGATTTCGAGTATGGTCTAATCCAGTTAGTACAGTAAGACGATGGTCTCCAGAAATCAAGTGTCAATTAATGTAACTTTAAATTGCCTTTTTGGGGTGGGGACAGCTATTTGGAGTATCACCAAGTTTCTGGTCCTTTCTATAATTATCAAATCAGGTCTCACCTTTTGGTATTCATACAATTTACATTACTATAGTGCTTGGAATCTATTCCTATCTAAACTTAACCTTGTTTATATTCTTCTATCTTGACTAGATATTTTGAATATTAAATATATCCTCCAGCAACTCTTTTTTTGAGCCAGAGTCTCAAGCTATTGCCCTGGGTAGAGTGATGTAGTGTCACAGCTCACAGCACTGTGAGCAACCTCCAACTCTTGGGCATAAGCGATTCTCTTACCTCAGCCTCCCAAGTATCTGAGACTACAGGTGCCTGCCACAACACCCAGCTATTTTCTGTTGCAGTTGTCATTGTCGTTTAGCTGGCCCAGGCCAGGTTTGAACTCAATGTATATGGCCGGCGCCCTACCCACTGAGCAATAGGCACTGCCCTAGCAAATCATTTTAAGTCTTCTGAATATATTAAATATTTTTCCCATATCTCCATCCAAATTTACTAGAAGTAGGATAGGAACAAGTAGCCTATTAGAGACTTCTGTTCAGGTTGACATTGTTCCAATATCAAGTATTTTCTAGGTTTGATTGTTCAACTAGCCATAAACCAAATTTTTCTATGTTTAATATTGTTCATAAGATTATCCTTGAAATATCTACTCAAAGTGTGATGAGAAGGAATAGGGTGATGAACTGAGTCCAAAAACTTTGGTTCTAATGCTCAGTCTTTACTAAGCTGGGTGACTCTAGCAAACCACTTAGACTGTAAGCTTCAGTTTCCTAATCCATAAGAAGAGGCTAATGTTACCACTCATAATATTCTTCTCTCTGTATCATTTATTTTGAATGTTTCTATTATCATATGTCACAGAACAAAAACCATCTATCTTGTTCTTTATGACACCACCTAGTAATACAGATACTTAGAAGGCCCCCAAGCATCTGTTAAACTAAACCTCAGTTCTTGTGTTAAAATAAGTGCAATAGTAGGTGTTAAGATTGAGTTGGTAAGAGAAGTAAGGTTAGTTTGATTCAACTTGGTCTTAGTGAATCTGTTTCTACATCATTTACTAAGGGCTTACATGCAGTATAATAAAGACTTTCTGGGCTTTCAGATGAGACTAATGGAATTTACCAATAATCTACAGTTTAAAATCCAATCATTCCCTATTTTGGAAACAATTTTATTTCCAGGCTCCTGTTCTCCATAGATTTTCTCATACCACCAAGAGTAATTCTGCCATTATATTTGCAAATTCTTTCAAAACCTTAAGTCCAAAGACTTAAAACTTCTTTACCAATTACTTGATGTTCTTCTGTCACTACCAATTTGAGCTTGATGACGGTCATTATGCTCCTTCCAGTTTGAAGGAAATAGTAATTCAGCCCCAAATTTTAGGACATGAGTGAATGGATCCATCCTTAATGTGTGAATATGTGGCCTTGTATATAACTTACCAGTTTATATATGTTGTCCGTCTCTTTGTCTACTACCAGCAATGAAGTCTGATCTCCACCCTTCTTAATCATTTCCACAACACCATCATGATCCATAGTTTCCACAGACTCGCCGTTGACAGCAATTACCAGGTCATTGTTCTTCAAGCCAGCCTCTTCTGCTGGACTTCCAGAATCTATGTTCTTGATGATTTGACCTACCCTCCCCCACCCCCAAAAATAAAGTTGTCATAAAGGCTCCTAAACAAATAAACCAGGGTTTCCACTGGAGTCCCAGGGCTTGACAAAAAATCAATATAAAAGACACACTGAGTACAAGTACTGTCCTTCCATCAATATCCCAAGAAGCTTATGAAGCACCATGTGGGCTCATTTCCTGTTCAGAACTCATTCCAGGATCCAACCCAGCCATTAACGATGAAAGGGTCTTGCAAGAAAGAATGTTACTAAAAGTGACATTCAAAATAGTGTGCAAAGCATTAAGGGCCAGAAAGTTCCCAGGAAGCCAGTGGGCATTCTTATTTATACCTATAAAAAAAATTTTGTTTTAAAGGTCTCACTTTGTCACCCTTGGTAGAGTACCGTGGTGTCATAGCTCACAGCAACCTCAAACTCTTGGGCTTGAGCAATTCTCTTGCCTCAGCCTCCCAAGTAGCTGAGACTACAGGCTACAATAGCCTGCCACAACACCCAGCTATTTTTAGAGATGGGGTTTTACTCTTGCTCAGGCTGGTCTCAAATTCCTGAGCTCAGGCAATCCACCTGCCTCAGCCTCCCAGAGTGCTGGGATTACAGGCATGAGCCACCATGCCCGGCCTATACCTATACATCTTGTATAGAAGCCAAGCCACAAAAAAGGGGGAAGGGAAGAATTAAAAACAAAACCTTAGGAAGCCCATACTGGCATTTTAGTAGACATTGTAAGTGTATTTATATAAATATACCTCAAGGATGTGCCCTTAGCCACCTTCTGACTTCAAATGTCTTTACCAGATACCTTCAGAGCTCTCATACTTTTCTCCTTCCCTCTATTCTAAAAAACTCCAGCCTCACTTTTCCAGCTAACTACTGAGTATCTCCAACAAGATCCATCTAATTTAAGTTTACAAATGAAAAAAATCACTCTGTAGATGCTCATCCCAAAGACCTGCTAGTATCCCCAGTCACCAACACTGGACAGCTGATTCTTCCCCAGTATCTAGTCAGTTGCTAAATCCTTCGATGCTGCCTTAGTACTCCTCACATCCCTTTTCTCTTAATTCCACTTCGTCTACTGTGAATGCAGTTTGTACTAGATCCTGCCTGGAGTTCTACCTACACCACTGCGGGACCCTACCAACAGCTCTCCCTCTCCAGTCCTTCCCTGTGACACCGCTGTGCCTTCGGATCCGCCTTGATGCACATTGTTGAGCAAGTCACCTCCAGGAAACTAAAATGAGAGCAGGCTTTGGAAACAAATAGCCCTGATTTTGACCCAGCTGCACCACAAGTATTTGACCTTACATTGTCACCATATCTTCAAGCCCTCAATTTCAGGAATTCTTCTGACAGAATCGTTATAAGTAACGGAGATGTGCAAAGTCCCCAAGACATTCTACGCTTCATTTTTCTTCTCCCTTACATTGTTCAAAAACTCTTAATTCCTCACTGACTAATGAGCCAAATCCAAATTCGTCAACCTAACACTGAAGTTCCCTTGCCATCTCTCTCCAACCTACCTTTCCAATTTGGATTTCTGTGCTGCACATCAGAAGCCAGTTCCCTACCTTCTTGGAATGATCTGCCTTGCTCTGGCTCCATCTACTTTCCCAAATTCTAGCGGTACTACAATGTCCAAACTTAGCTGTTACTGCTATAATAAAATGGTCTTCTGGTACCTTTTTAATTTTTACTCAAATTACAGTCTTTTATCTGCCCTTGTATTAAGGTGCTTATCATTATCTACTTTCAGTTGTGGACATAAGTTTCTTATCTCCTCTACTAAGTGGTAGGGGCCTTGACTGAGGAATTTCTATCTGATCACTTCATATTCTCAAAGACTCTGAGGATGTTTTACAAAACACAAACCAAGTTAATATTTGATGAGTTAATGTAAACATACATAATGAAAACAGCAACTTCTAGATGAACAACAAGTTTACATGGCCTGTATCCACATTCTTTTATGTGTTCGCCTTTCCTGCTCCCTGTTATCAGAAAGCAGAAAGATTCCTGGCTGTGCACAAGCCCAGGTCCCGGCCCACACCTCTACCAGCTCTAGTGGTATACTGGGGCTGGCCCTCACAGCTCCCCAGAGCCAAATTCTGCACCACACTTCTCTACTTTCTGCTCATGTTGGTAGCCCGAGAGTATTCACGTCATAAAAGTCATCAAGTGCTACAAGCTAGGACACGCAACCGGCCCTAAGAGCCAATTTGCCCAGATCCTAAACTCTTCATTTTGCTGTGGAAACATGGACCCAACCCAACTATGCTTCCTAGTTTCTTGCTGTCCCCCTTAATCATCTGGTAGGGAGCTGGGAGCCTAATGGTATTCAAGTCAGTAGAGTGAAGAATTAGTCAGTTACATGCCAAGTCTTTTCTGGTGCCTTACCTTTCTGCTCTGGACTGGCACTCAGATAGAAACCATAGCCATTGGTTCCCTTCTTCATCTCCACAACTCGGGGCTGGTGGGGTAACAGTTTCAAACTGGCGATTTCTCTTTTGAATTGTATCTTCTGCTCACTGTGGCGTTTGTGGGTCTCTTTGTCCACCAGCAGGAACATGACATGGCTTCCCGACTTCTTAACCTGCAACACAAGCACAGGTGCGGGGCGACATCAGCTCCCCAGAACAATCCTGTGGAATGAAATGGTGCTGTGAGGAGGCACACGGTCTCTGCATTCAGCAAGAAACAGGATGCAAGGCCTGGGTTTAAGCTGTTACACTATTTCCTACCTGGCATTTCTCTATCTTCACTTCTGTAGTTGTTTTTCCCTTTGTTAAGTTTGCCCTCACCCACACAGATGCTAACCCAGATGGGAGCTGGACTTCAGATGCTAACCCAGAAATGTAGGTGAAGGCTAAGTATGGAAAAGAAAGTAAAGGTCAACTTTAAAGCTCATCTTGCAGAGAGTAGAGGAGTTTGGTTAATTGTCAAGGTTCCATATCCCCTCAAAGGAAAATCTGAGTGTTTTCCATGTGTCATGAAACCATGCTGGGACATAAGGTTTGGGGCAATAAACCTCCCCATATTCTGCATTTACCACCACATTGGGAATCTTCTACTTGCTATTAAAACATTTCAGTATCATCAGCTTACCCTTGAATTTATAAATTCAGAGGGGGCTCCTGATCAGGTACAAACAAGATCCAAAAGATAAAGCTGATGGTTTTTGTTTTGTTTTTTTTTTTGAGACAGAGCCTCAAGCTGTCCCCCTGGGTAGAGTGCTGTAGCATCACAGCTCACAGCAACCTCCAGCTCCTGGGCTCAAGTGAGTCTCCTGCCTCCGCCTCCCCCTCCCAAGTAGCTGGGACCACAGGCGCCCGCCACAATGCCCGGCTATTTTTTGGTTGCAGCCATCATTGTTGTTTTGGCGGGCCTGGGCTGGATTCGAACCCGCCACCTTAGGTGTATGTGGCTGGTGCCTTAGCCACTTGAGCCACAGGCGCCGAGCCAAGCTGATGGTTCTTTAAGGCCTCCTATGAAACTAGAGAAGCCTTATTCCAAAACTCTTTATTAGTGCTGCTTATGCCACTAGTGCGCCCAGCCATCCTTATTATGAAGGGGCAGCTCAACTGGATATTCTTTCTGCTATAAAGTTACCCTGTCTCCTGTCACCTCCAGTGACAATGGAAGATAAGGTAAGGAAAGTCTAGGACATACCTTCTGAACCACTTCCTCGTGGCTGGCGTCTTCTACATTCTCCCCATTCACTTCAATCACGTGGTCATCAGCCAGCACCCCAGCTTTCATGGCCACACCTTGAGGTGTGATATCAGTCAGGTATACACCCTTTTTACCTGAAAGGCAGTAAGGATTAAACTCCATTGCCCAGAAAAACCAGAAATTCAAAGGTAAAGGGGTTTCTCCATGTAATAGAAAACAGAACTTCAATTTTATAGCTAACTCAAATGGCCTTTGGCTTCTGATTTAGAATCCTAGTTACAGCTTGACAAAGCAACAAGGAGTGTTTGTTGATTTGAATAAAATTTCTGAACTCAACTAAATGCAAAGAAGGAATCTCAGGTGGCCTTGGCTCCTAAACCAGGAAGTAACAAACCGTGCCCAGGCTGCCCCATTGTGTCATACTCCCTTTGTGTTTATGGATTAGAAAACATCTGTCCCAATCCCTCTTCTTTAGAACTGTTACCAATCATCATATACCAGTGGACTCAAATCTCACTGATCCAGGCTTAACAAGGACAGAGGCACAGGAGGGACAGAAAGCATGTGCATGTTTAGCTGGTGTGATTTAGGTACCACTTAAAGCAGTGCTATCAATTCTTTTGAGACATTACCCACCCTTATCCACTGGCAGTATATGTCCAGGCATCCAGTGGACACCTGAAATTTCAGACAGTGCTGAACTCTGTAATTTTTTTTTTTTTTTTTTTTTTTGGAGACAGAGTCTCACTTTGTCATCCTCAGTAGAGTGCTGTGGCATCACAGCTCATAGCAACCTCCAACCCTTGGGCTTGAGTGATTCTCTTGCCTCAGCCTCCCAAGTAGCTGGGACTACAGGTGCCCACCACAATGCCCAGCTATTTTTTGTTGCAATTGCCACTGCTGTTTTAGCTGTCTGGGGCCAGGTTTGAACCCGCCACCCTCAGTATATGGGGCCAGGGCTCTATCTACTGAGCCACAGGCACCACCCTGAATCCTGTATTCTTATTCATAAAGTTTAATTTATAAATCAAGCACAGTCAGAGATTAACAATAACTGAGCTAATCTTCACACCCTCAGCATATGGTATTTCTTCACTTGAGAATGTTTCACAGAGGTACTGTTCAGCTCTCTTCAGCATGGTTCGAATTGCCAGCATCACTACATTCTTAAGCTTGGGGCCATCATTTTTTATTAATACTTTGTATTTGTATATATGTATGGGGTACGTATGTTTTTATACAGGCGTACAATGTGTAATGGCCAAGTCAGGGTGTTTAGGATGTCTGTCACCTCAAACACTTATCACTTCTTTCTGTTAGGAACATTTCAAATCTTTTCTTCTAGCTGTTTTGGAATATGTATCTTGTTAACTCTAGTCACCCTACTATGCTATTGCACATTAGAACCTCCTGTTTATACCCATTAACCTGCCCCTCTTCAGACCCTCACCCCCTCCCCACACACATACTCCCAGCCTCTGGTATCAGTCTACTCTCTACCCCCACGAGATCAATGTTTAGTTCCCACATATGACTGAGAACATGATATTTGTCTTACTATGCCAGAGTTACTTGAACATGATGATAACACAATTGCACTGCAATATTTCAACAGCTGGTCTGGTAACTATTACATAACTAGTGGGCAGATCGTGTATGTGGTGAGGAGATGCTGGAGCAAGGGATGATTCACGTCTTGGGCAGGATGGTGCAGAACAGCAGGAGATTTCATACTACTCACAATGGCTCAGAATTTAAAACTTGTAAATTATTTCCAAAATTTTGCACATATTTTCAGACCATAAAGCAAAACTGAGGATAAATTTGTCAATCAAGACAAAGGATGGCTTCATAATGACTGACCAAGTCACTTGTAAGGGACAACAGTAACAAATGGCTTCCCTGAATACTTAACATAACTCCTGTTACTTTGTTATATATTTGTCATGAATAAAAGAATTGCTTCATAAAGCTAACCTAAACCATTCACCATATACATTAGCACAAGAACCAAATGAACAGAATCTGATTTTTTAACTGCCTTACTGATAATGAACTTCTAAGAAGTTCCAAGCTTCCTTCAAGCTATTGCGTTTAATAACTAACAAACTTAAGATCTCCATAGCTAGTTTACATCTCTTGCCACCAGTTAAACAAGCATTGGAAATAATTTTAAATTTACTATTGACTTTTGGCTTTATCACTTGCCAACTTATCAACCTACCCCCCATGGCTTCTCCAGTACCACAAAGAATGGGCAATGTTAGAGATGGAACCAGCTAACATCACTCCTCTCATTCCAGCCCATGTCTATGGTCAACTGAGCACAGGTCAGTTTGCACATCAGCAATTCTAGGAACAGAATTTCTAGCACTTCCTGATGGTCAGGGTTTCTCAAATCACTAGTTACCTTTGCAACTAGAGGTCAGGAAGACACTTCAGAACAGTCTAGGCTAGACCACAGCTGAGAACACTATTTCACTGTTAGAAGAGGGCAGAGATTTTTGCTGAGTATCCTCAGCAAACATAACAGTGTCTGACAGATCAATAGGTGCTCCAGAATTTATTGAATAAATGACTACCTGGGCACTCAGATGAAAAAAGATACCACCAGCCAGTGGGGCATGCCTGTAATCCTAGCACTTAGAGGCTGAAACAAGATCTCTTGAATTCAGGAGTTCAAGACCAGCCTGAGCAAGAGATAGACCTCATCACTACTAAAAATAGAAAAATTAGTGGAGTATTGTGGTGGACGCCTTACCACTCAGGAGGCTGAGGCAAGAGAATCACTTGAACCCAAGAGTTTGAGGTTGCTGTGAGCTAAGCTGATGCCACGACATTCTACCAAGGGCAATAGAGTGAAATTATCTTGTAGGAGACGCCAACATCGGAGTAAGATGATCTGCAGCTGAGGCGTGGACCTCGGGCCATTCCTCCACCGGAGTTCCTTGTGGGAGGAGCCCGTGCCCTCAGCACGTAGTCATTGTTAATTACTCCCCTCACCTGTGTTGTTCTGGCTCAATAAAAGGCTGGTGCGGAGGTTGCTTGGGGCTACCGGGAAAGTAAGGGCTAGCCTGCCTTCCACAAGCTTGTACTTCTAATCCGCTTCTCGCCTGGTTCCTTCCTGCGCTAACCGAGACCAGGGCCACAGAAGCCCGACGGGTCGCGACATTATCTCAGTTAAAAAATATTAAAAAGATACCAATCTTACTCAAAGGCAGCTATTATAGAGAACCTCGTCTTTCTAAGTTTTTATTCCCATCCTTCCCTCCACCTTCACCCTAAGGAAGCCAGAAAAGACTAACAAATGTAAACCCCTCTGACCCTCCTCACATCAAAGTGTCCCCAGCTGATAAACACATGGGAACAGGAGTGCCTGGTGCCTACCCACCCCCAGCCCACTGCTGCCAATGTCCTGATCCCTTGTTGCACAACTGTGCAAGGCAAGGGAAACGGGCAGTGAGGGGGAAAGCTGCCCACGGACATCCACAGCAACTGAAGAGTGGAAGTCAAGGAATCAGCATTATCTTTCTTCTGGAATCCTGTCCATGCCCCACCCTCAAGCTCACCTTGGACGGTCTTTAGAGAGAAGCCATAGCTGTTCCCCTCCTTCACGAGGTAGCAGAGCCGGGGCTGGGTCCAAGTCTCCACTCGCCCATTCATCACAGGAGACAGTTTCTTATCATTCAAACCTTGCTCCTTCTGACTTTGACCCAACTCTCTTAAGTCCACCTTCATCTTCATTGCTTTCTCATAGGAATCCCCATCCAGAACTAGTAAAGTCACTGAATTCCCACTCTTTCTGACCAGATCCACGACCTAGAAGGGAGTGTGGAGGGCGGGGGGAGATGACTTTAATGAATAATCTTCTGTCAACTGCCAGAGGGAAATACTTCCCATCTGGCTTAATACCTGGCCCTGGAAATTCTGGTGGTTGACCCTGACACCCAGCTAGTAAGCAGATCACCCCAGCCCCCTCCAGTCCAGCCCTCCTAAAATCCAGCACAGATTAAGCTAGGTCTCTGGCACTTTTGGAACCTAGAGTGTGACCCAAGCCCAGGACTTCTAGGACTAACACTTCCTAGAGATGAATGTTGCTGTGCAGCATAACAGGCCCTCCCACATCTGCTGGGACAGCAAAGTGCAGTGAAAAGAACATCGACTTGGAGTCAGGCAGAATGTGGTAGGGCCAGAGCAGAGGAGGGCCATGAGCACATCAGCAAGCTAAGTTAGTAGCTTCCTAATTCATAAGATAGTAATATACACCTCACAGAGTCATGAGGAGGATTTGACAAGATAATGAATATAAAGTTACCTTAGCTTAATTTCTGGCATGTAGTAAACTTAATGTGTTTTCAACCTGGTACTATTCAAATCTAAGAATGATTACAGTTCTTGGCTGTTTTCTGGGGACTTGATTGGCCAAAATAAAGTATCATGATAAAGATGCCCTGCTTGCCAGTGGCAGCCAAGAAAGAACCAAATTCCACTGACCACAAAAGTTATAAGCAGCAGAGGGGGTGTGGGGACAGAAGGGATCCTATAAGAAGAACCCCAAGTGTCTCATTCACCTGCATATGTTCCTCCTTGTCCACAAAAACACCATTGATCCTAAGAACTCTGTCTCCATCCTGGAGGCCACCCTTCTCTGCTGGGCTCCCCTTCTCAATCACTCGAACCAGGTGGCCATCGGTGTCCTTCTCAATTCTCAGGAAGAAGCCATAGCTTTGTTCATCTTGTTTAGATAGTTTACATTCTCGGGGGTTGAAGGTGGAAGCCATTTCTATGATTAAAACAAATGGATAAATCCATTGAAAAGAAAAATCTCATTGGAGTGAGAACCCTGTCCTCCACCTCCTATAATTCTAGACTGGGTAGTAACTTTGGGCATACAGGTGTTAATGGTTTGAGGTCTTCCTTGACCTATGCCACCTTACCTGACTCCTAATTCTTCAGTTCTCAAGAAGGTCATTACCCCCAGGGAACTGCTCTTAATTCTTCTCACGCCACTCCTGTTTCCCAAGACCCTTTGCTATATTGTCCCTTTTTGGTCTGTTCTTCCCCAGAGTAACAGTCACATGTTATAATTACGTTCTTGCCAATATGAAAGGCAGAGTATGAGTTTGTCTTCTCTAGAGATTGATTCTCAATGCCTCAAACTTGATATGCTCCTCAGAGCCTATCAGGAGGTCACCTTTCAGAACTTGGTAATTTCCAAATCTGTTTCCACAACAACCACCTTTTTACTTGAGTTTTGAGTTCATGTATTTTACTGGGTATTGAACACATAGCTGCCACCAAACTCCTTTTTGCCCTTGACCTAAGTAAGTCTAAATATATGACCCAAAACATTTAAAAAACAAACCCACTCTCGAGAATTTGAAGAGCCTATTAAGCCTCCTAAAGCAGCTTCCCTTTCCATCCATCCCGCCCTTCTATTTGCCCCATTAAAGGAGGAAGGTCCTGAGCCATAGGAGGAAGGCAGACAAGTGTGAAACCAATGTCTCAGGTTTCAACACCCAATTATTGCTGAGGGGAAGACTCCTGCCAGCGGCCCCCACCCCTCCCTCATAGAATAAAAATGGGACCACAACAGTAAAAGGCTGGTGTGCAAGGCAGGGGTCTAGAGCGGAGGCTGGAGGCTGCTCTTTACACTGCCCGCAGGACAAGCCCTCTTGCTTCCTTGTCACTGTTCCCTATCTACAAGTCAGAATAAACTGGCTGTCCATTCCTTCCTCGAGGGACAGGAACAAATGATCATCTAGGATGGCAGTTCTCAACCTGTGGGTCACAACCCACAGGAACTGTATTAAAGGGTTGCGGCATTAGGAAGGTTGAGAACCTCTGATCTAGGGTATGGGGTAGGGTGGAGAAGCCGTAACAAAGTGCTCCATCTCCCTAGAAGCCGTCCTGCGGTGATGCATGATAGCCATCTGTGACCTTTATGCCCACAGAGCTGTACAGTACAAGCCAGACAGAAAGCCTCCCACTCCCTGATGACATGGCCACCACCCGTGGTCTCAGCAAAGTCTGGCAGTCACGTTGCCAGCATCATGAATAACTAAGTAGCCAAGAAAACAAGAGAGAAATAGACTTCCTATCGAGTATCCAGGGAAGAGAAGAAAGGCCAGGCTCCCTGGTGATCATTGCTGGCACCTGGAGAGAGCTCAGGTGTCAGAAGAGCTCAGGTGTCACCGTGTCAGAAGACATGACTGGCTGCCAGGGGGGACACCACTTTGGAAGGACAGTGCTTCACCAGAGACAGGTGTCCACACGTGGAGGCACCTGTTTCCAGGCTGATCTGACTCTACAACACACTATTTTCCTGGCCATCCAGCCTGCAGGCCTGAGTTTTCAGCTTGAATCTATATCTATGTCCCAGCTCACCTCTAATCCCCATCAGCTCTCAGCTTCTTAAAGCTAAAAAGCCTTGGAAAAAACATGGAAAAGGTCTCTGTACTTTATTGGGAAGAAGAGGCAAAAATTACATAAAGGAATGAATAAGATAATTTCAGATGATACTTGCTGTGAAGAAAATCAAACAGGGTGCCATCTTTGGGAACTACAAAGAAAACCCCAAATCCTCTTAATCTTGGAAGTAATTATTGGGGAACCTCATCCACGTCCAACAAAATTTGAAACATGTCCTTAGAATCAGAACAAAGGCCACTAAATGCTATGTTTTGAGAGATGAGGCTGTTTGTGACCAGCATACAAAGGCTCATTTCTAAAGCACCCGCCCCTAACCCTCAGCAATCTCACACCTTGTGGTGCCAACCACAGCCTCTTGTGGTGCCAACTACAGCTCTTCCTCTGTAGCCCAGGATATAAAGTGAAGCCTTATCACTGGTAGGACTCGTCCCACATTGGAAAAAGGGGAAGAGGCAAAGTTTTTCCTGTGTTTCACAGATCAGAAAGCCTGGCATACAAGGAAACACAAATCATTGTTTCTTGGCAAAAACTCAAGTTGGGTTTGTTTGAAGTTTTTAAAACGGCCACGCAGCAATCCCTAGGATCTGTGCCCATGGCTTTGAAGCCTCAGGCACTCAAGGTCAGAACTTCATTTCCATCTGGTGGAAACCAGAGAATTAGAGCCAGTTCACATTAACAGGAAAACTGAAATGCTATGTCCTGGTGAGGAAACAGCTACTGCTGGGAGCCCCCAGATACCTCCAGCCACTGCGTCTGCAGCTACTAACAGATTAATGCCAGTATCCATGGAGTGGTATGTGCCCAGGCCAAACTTAACATCCTCAACTGTGCTGTGGAGAACACAGACGAAAACCCCAAAAGCCTGGTCTTACATGAGACCCTTGGGGCTCTAAAACTGTTCTCTTTGCCATCTTGTAGAAAGATGATTGAACTAGGGGTCACGTGGGGTAGGCTCGGATCCACCTCCAGTCCTGTTTCTGGTTCTGTCGAGTCCACATCCTGGTATGATGTGGGCCCTTAAATCAAGGCTAAGATCACTTTCCTAAGACTCAGCCACTGCTCCATGATGAGGATGCCTGGGGCTCCGGAACACAGGGCCTACCTAGGAGGGATCTTTGTATTTAAGGACCCTATTTCCTACTTCTTCCGCCCCATCCCATCTTCTGCTTCCTGATAAAATCTGGAGGGCAGACCCCTAAAGTGGACAGACACCTAACTAGTGGAAGCTTGTGAGTTTCTGCAATGTGTCAGCAATCATCTGAAGCCAGAGTCTGTTAAGTGTTCAGCAGGCTTTCTTTCCCAGTTCAAATAGCCAAAATAAATTACTAGAAATTCAAAAAAGCTATAACCATTACTGAGCTTTGGGGGGGAAAAAAATCAATACTTGGCAACAAAGTTCTTATCTCTGGAAAAGAACAAGACACTGGCTGGCAGATGGGAAAGGCTCAGGGTGAGAAACCTGAGAGTTATTTTAAAACTTTTTTTCTTTCTTTTCTTTTCTTTTTTTTTTTTTTTAAGAGACATAGTCTCACTCTATTTCCCTTGATAGAGTACCGTGGCATCAATGCTCACAGCAACCTCAAACTTCTGGGCTCAAGTAATCCTCTTGCCTTAGTCCCCTGAGTAGCTGGAACTATAGGCATATGCCACAATGCCTGGCTAGTTGTTTTTTTTTTTTTCTATTTTTAGTAGAAACAGGGTTTTACTCCTGCTTAAGCTCATCTTAAACTCCTGAGCTCAAGGGATTCACCCACCTCAGCCTCTCAGAGAGCTAGGATTACAGGCGTGAGCCAAAGAGCCCAGCCAAATCCATCTTGATTGATAATCATGTTAATCATACCTTTAGACTCTACTCTCTTCCAGAAGGAATAATTATTGCTATCTGGAAAGAGAATAATATGATTGTGGTCAAGAAGAAAACCTGGCACCACCTAGAAATTAACAAGGCTAGGAAGTGACCACAGGGAGGAAGGGGACATTGAACTGCTAGATGTGGCCAGAGTAGAAAGAACTAAAGCCATTGGGCTGTTTCCCACAGAAAAGGAATATATGGTGGGACCTCAGGTGCTTCTCAAGCCTAAGAAAGGCCAAGGTTTCTGAGCTCCCAGCCAGCCAACAACATGGACTGGTAGGATCCACAGTTAACACCCACCCTGCCCTGACAAAGAGCTAGAAGTCTGAGCCGGGAGCTGTTCCTGAGATTAGGACTAAGACCCAAACAGCCAAAAAGAACAGTTCAGCTTCATGGGCTGAGGCTAAGAAACTCTTACTTTCCCCTCAGGTTTCATGACTACAACTTAGAACCTAGGACTTCCCTCAGCAGGCCCAGCTGAGAAGAGTAAGACTGCATGTCCACCGGTCCTAGCGTCAGTGGGGCTTGTTGTGAAGCGCGCCTGTCCTGTCAGCCCGCGTGACAAAAAAGACCTCTGTTCTAAGATAGTTACTTGTGGAAATGTCCTATTAAAGATACCCTATCTGGTTATAAGCCTGTCCACACAGGAAAGGAGACAGAGACGGAGGTCTAAAAGCCACTTATCTGATCAACGTTCCATGACCTCCCAAGAAATGTTTAAAAGTTTCAAGGTCAGCGGGAACCTGATAAGAACACAAAGCATTTTCCAGACCCAGAGTCAACACATAGTGTTTTCCAAAACCTCCAAACATATCCTGCTCAAAAGCAGAGTTAAATCTCTAACTCAAGCTTCCAGCTACCATTTTGAAAAGGAATTCTGGAACTACTAGGAACCAGATAAAATCTGGGCCTAGGGGAAAGCCAATTCTTCTAAAGAACTGATTAACATAACCATCTCCTTGCTTACTTATTTGATGTGGCAAAAACTTTCATACTCTATTCTTAATAGTATAGAAAAGTATCATTCATTATGCACATTATTTAAATTGGGTCCTCCCCCAAACCCTCCCTCCTCCCACCTTCCTGCCCCTCTCTTTCCTCTTCCTTCCTTCTTTCTAGACTATAGTTATGTTTTACCATTCCTACGAATGCATGGGTGATTATATATACTGATTTCATAGTAGTATTCAATACACTGGATACTTTTTCTTACATTCTTGAGATACTTTACTAAGAAGCATATGCTCCAGCTTCATCTAGGTAAACATAAAAGATGTGAAGTCTCCATCTTTAATGGCTGCATAGTATCAAATCAGCACATTGTACCCCATAAATGCATTAATGTACACAGTTATGATTTAATGAATTAAAAATAAAATGAAAATAAATAGTTACTCCTTGAGGAGCAGAGTCAGCAAAAATTACAGGCTCTCCCACCACCTCCTCAATCCTGGGAGCTATCTGTGCCCAAGAAGGCACCAGCTGGCTTTATCCAAGTG